CACTGCTACTCGTGTGACATTGCTCATATATATATATATAAAATTGTTTTTCAACCGGTTCACTGCACCATGTGCTACAGTGAGCAAGTGATGGTGCGCTGCTGATGTACCTGGACCCTTTGCATCCGCTCAGATCCATGTCCAGCTCAGGTGTGGACTCAATGATGGCCTGCACCTCCGACCGCTCGCCATTCACACCCTGATCAGCTCCTGAGCACACACAAAAGCATCTTACACTATTTATACAGTCACATTCAAGTGCCAATATTTAAACTTTGTCCAACACTTTGAACGTATACACAAAAATAAATTTAATTTAAAGGGCCCCTATTATGCAAAAATCACTTCTATAAGGGGTTTAAACCCAGTTGTGTGTCAGCAGTGTGTGAATATCTGCAGCCTCTAACAGTCAACATTAATTAATTGTGTGTTTTATATTCAGACTTGATGAATGAAACACTTTGAATGACATTCTCTCTTTGTATGTGTCATCAGAGGGGGAAAGCCCCGCCCACTAGTACCATCCCTCCATCTCATTAGCATAATCAGCAGCCCTGAGTAAGAAGCAGCCGTCTGTCCATTAGCCATTAGAGTGTGCTGAAGATAATGTTAATGATTAAGAGGATTATAGATGTGGAGTTTTAGATGACAGGATCGATATAGACTGGCAGAAGCATGAAGCACACACTCACACTGACAACATGCAGACCTGAAGAGCATTGTTGGCTATGTTGAGCATTGGTGGTAAATGAGTACTGACCTGTGGCCTGTGTTTCTGAGGCTGCGTCTCCCTGGACGCCGATGTTTTTGCTGCTGTCTGGTTTATTGCTGCTGGAGTCCAGATTTGGGTTTAACCCCTCGGTCTCCTCCGGCACTGCATGTGAAGCGGATTCAGTGCTGGATTTACACTCGCCTCCACCCAAACCAGACAGCTCATCCTGAAACACACACATTCACATTAAATACGATAAACCTGGAAGACAGCGGAAGACTAAATATTCATTTGAGCAGTTTTTTTCCCAAAATATTTGCCAAATGATGTTTAACAGAGCAAGAACATGTTTATATAATGTTAATAATTAAAAAAATAATTGCATTACAATCAAATCAAATGAAATCTAATCTAACCAAATGAAATCGAATCATAAATCTAAAAAAAATTTAAATAAATATACAATTTTTAAAAATATAAAAAAATAAATAAAAGAAAAAAAAATTATTCCAAAAATTAAAATAAAAATAAATAAAATATAAAAAAAATAAAATAAAACAAAATCTAAATTAAATCAGTTTAAAAATTAAAAATAGCAAAAGTAAAATAATTTAATTAAAAATAAAATAAAAATAAATAAAATCTAAATAAAAAATAAATAAATAAAATTAAATAAAATTGAATCTAATAAAAATGTAATAAAATTAAATAAATATAGAAATCAAAAAATTCTAAATTAAATTAAATTAAATTAAAACATTAAAATAAAAATGAAATCTAATAAAAATAAAATGTAATCTAAATAAAATTTAAAAATTGTTTAAAAATAAAAATAAAACAAAATCTAAAAAAAAATACAATAAAATAAAAAGTAGTTAACTTGGTTAAGCCTCTAAATAAAAATAATATTTTTATAAAAAGCTAATTATTAGTATCTTGCAAAACTAGTAAAACATTATGTACTGTCATCACCAAATTAGTTATTAAAAGTATTATGTTTAAGAAATATTCTCTCCGTTAAACAGCACTTTGGACATTTTGATTTACATTCAACTCTATATTAATAAACAGACCACAGACCACACATATGTGCTAGTAGAGGCTGTCAAAATTATGAATGTATGAACTAATACAATGATTCATCTCCAGAAACAGCTCTGCACACCATGCTACAAGCATGCTGCATGCAGATTTGAATTGTTCTATGCATAATAAACAAATGATATAAACCTAATTATTGTTATGCAGTTACACACACAAAAATATGCATGCTCAAAAGATTGGGTTAGGCATAAACATTAACGATAAGTTCTTTAGATCTTTTAACTCATCAAATATCAATCAAATAATCCTAAACAATGGGTAAATATGAATTAGTTAACATCTTTTCACCATGAATAATACAATGTAAAATAAAAATGCTGCATATTTTTTGTATATATTATTTTTTATATATAATTTTATTCAACAATATTAATCAAATTATTAATATTATTTTTTATTGTTTAATAATTTTAAATAAAATTATCAAACTAATTTAAAGTCACACAAAAACATTTACTGTCGTGACTTATCATATAATATTTTACAGTGCAATAAAAAAGGTTTCTTGATGATCAAATGATCCTATTAATATGATATTTGAAGGATCATGTGACACCAAATGTGCAAAAATATCAGCTTTACATCAGAGAAATAAAATACATTTCATGATAAATTCCTATATAAAGCAGCATATTTGAATTGTAAAAACATTTTACTATTTTTTTCTGTATTTATTTAACAAATTAATGCAACACTGGCGAGCAGAAGACTTGAATTAAAAAAATAAACAAATGCACAGACCCAAATTTTGAGCATATTGATTATAGAAAGACGACAAAACACACAATTAGGATTATTAAGAGTCTATTTTGTATATCATAACTCCAATAATGACAGAAATAGAGAAATAAGGGCAAAAACAGACAGAAAAACTACACAAATATAACTTAGTTGTCTAACAAATACAACTATTAAGATATACAAGATATTAGTACAGTCTTAGAAATATTCCAGGGTATTGTTTACCAGAATTTATTAGTCAAATAAAAACTAAAGCACTGAAAACTCATTTCAGCTAAAGAAATGATACAAAAACCACATACAATTATTGAAATAAACCAGGAATATACCAAGTGTAACTGCAAGCATTGACACAAACCACACAGATGCTGATTGCAACCAAAACCATCTCATTATATAGTCTTTATCTCTCTTGTTTACGTGTTAGTAAATGGTTGCAGGCAGCAGTTTGTGGACTAGAACTAAAAATGCAAAGAAATGCTTCACTATTGACTCCAAAGTCAGCACACTACATAGTACACACACTATGCACTGCGTATGAGAACGGCAGGACTATCAGAACAGGGCTGCACGATATATCGAAAAAACTATTGTCACAGTAGTGTGATAGTAGTATGTGACATATTGCATTTAGGACCGACACATTAATTCTATTTATGTTTTAACTTGCATAGGAGGTTGATGCATTTTTAACCAATCAGATGGGGTCGTATCATTTTTAGCCCCGCCTCCCTAGTAGTTTCTGTTCTGCTATTGGCTGAAAATAAACACTAATGGAGTAAAACAGCCAATCAGAATCTAAATATATATACATGCTTTAGTATGAATTAGATTTAATTAGTTACAGTCAAAATTAATACATTTGTAATCTTTTTAAAAATATTTCCCAAGTGCACATTTCTGAACATAATAGTTTTAACTCACTTCTAATAACTGATTTCTCTTTATCATGATGACGGCATATAATTTTAGACTAGATATTTGATTAGTAGTCAGCTTAAAGTGACATTAAAAGGCTTCACTAGGGTAATTAGTTATTGATTTGTTCTGTATATGTTTTTCTTAAGGGGGCTAATAATATTAACCACAGCAGTTTTTACATTCGTTCATTGATTTATTGATTTATTACTGACCTTAAAACTGCCTTTTAATTCAGCCAAACAAACAGAAATAAGACTTTCTTAAAAATAAAAATATAATAGGAAATACTGTAAAGAAAACAAAGTACATTTAAACATTTCTTGGGAGATATTTTAAAAAGAATTAAAATTTCACAGAAGGTCAAACGAGTTTGCCTTACTTGTTTAAAAAAATAAATATATAAATATATAAAATAAGGCAAAGTTTTTCCGCGGTATGGTGCAGCCCTGTATCAGACGCTCTACCTGACTGGAGACGCTCCAGCTGGACTCCAGATTCTCCAGACGACTCTTACCCTCCGCCTCCAGCTGACCACAGACAAACACAGATGACCCAGAGTGTGCTTATAATAGTCAAACACACCAAACAGCAGACGACCCAGTGTAAATCTAACGTCATGTGTATTTTACATAGTGCATTTCTCATGTGTGGCCACAGCGCTTCACAATCGTGAGGGGCGTCTCTCCACACCTCCACCAGTGTGCAGCTCCACTTGGATGATGCGCCGGCAGCCACAGGACAGCGGCGCCAGTGCTATACAACACACCAGCTATAGATGGAGTGGAGAGACGGTGATAGAGCCAATTCGGTGATTGGGAGGGCATGATGGGTAAGGGCAGCACCCTTACTCTTTACCTGAAGTGCCATGGGATTATTAATGAGCACAGTCAGGACCTCAGTATAACAACTCATCCTAAAAAGTGTGTGTGTGTTTAAAACACCAAACAGCAGATGCCCCAGTGTGTGTTAATAATAGTCAAACACACCAATCGTACACCATGACGGCTGATGGGATGTGGACTGACATTACAGAACTATAAAATCAGGTCCGTCTTTCATCCAGAAACATCAGCTGGTCAAATCCAGATTACAGCTCTTACTATAGTGAAATGAGCTGCAGGCCTGGATTACACATAATCTGTCTCTCATGTTTGATTAAAGAGAGTTTATTAAGGACACTTTCTTCTGATTGAGACTATATCAGACATGTTTCATCCTGGTTTTACTCCGCTACTACTATTATTATTATTACTGACCTTTCTGTTGGGTGGATCTCAGGCTTTGTTGTGTATATTGTGTTATGTATAGTGTTCAATAAACGAATAATCAAAGGAATCAACACTGTAGGTGTTCTACAGCCTCTAGTTTGCAATACGATTCCAGTGAATTGCATGAATAATACGGTTTTTCCAGTGTAAATGCTGTTGTTTTTCTGAGATTAACGCTGAAGCGTGGCATATTGTAAAGCTGGTTTCCTCCAGCTTTTTGGATAATGACATGTTTTATTAATGTGACTTTCACACGGCGCTGATCGAGAGCTAACAATAAAACCATTGGGTTATGAACAAACCCCTAATGCACAGGGACTGGTGTGCTTTACACTTCATACAGATATCAGCATAATTGAGCACAGGCTTGCGAGTGTTTCAAGTGAGCATGTTTTGTACATTTCTCAGTGAATATAGACAGCAAGTTTCTGTTTTGGTTTCTGTCAGCTTTGTGTTTAAAAGTATTAACAAACTATTACAGCTTAGAACAATGTTTTGTGTGTAATTTTACGTTTTGTGACAATTAGTCGCGTAATAAGTGGGATAAAGTGCATCCAGACGGCAGAATAAAGCCTTCAGTCTTACACAACAGCTGCTGATAAACCTGTCAGCTTTATTCTGCAATAACAAACAGCTTATAATTGTATTTTTTAATATTATTATTGAATTATTTATATATTTTATATATTACACACACTCACATATACAATCTGTCTCTCTCACACACACACATGCACACGCACACACACTCTGTCTGCAAGCACGCACAGACACACTATAGTTTGCATGCAGGATGCTCTGCAACTCTAGAGGGTCACCATGGCAGTGTGTGTTTAACTGAGAAGAGTCTGATAGCAGCTTAGACTTTATGCAGAGAAATGCAGAGTCACACACACACACACACACACACACACACACACACACACACACACACACACACACACACACACACACACACAAAGGCTGTCTGTTTCAGCCCACAGTGTGGGTCTGACGGAGCCATTGTGTTTTTGAAGCTCTGATGACTCGTCAGTTTTATAACGATGAATCTTGCAAATATAAAGAGTTTTGATGAAAGCCTGCAGAGACTCACAGATCAAACATTTACAGCACTGGAGGTTAGAATCACTGCCATTACAGCAATATTACTGTTATTATTAGTACTCATAAAAATATTAAAATATGAATATTTTGTTATTATTTATTATTATTATTATTATTATTATTGTT